TTTTCCACAGAGTTCATTTCCCATTCATTTTCCCTCATGGAACTGAAATTCCTCTACTACCATGTTCTACCTGATTTGACAGGGAAAGTAGTGGTTGATGTTGGTTCCAGACTTGGTGCAGTACTGTTTGGGGTAAAACCTTATCTGGGAATTTGTTTAAAATTTTTGATTTTTTCTGAGTGTTCACGTTCATTTACTGTTTTGTTGGCCTGCAGATTTAATGTATTGATTTCTCTGGTTCAAAATTGTACATGCAATTATGACTCTAGCAGTAGTGGGCCTTGTTCTTTAAGGTCAGAGGAGTGATTTTGACAGTAAGCATTCTTTTCTCTGTAGGCACTGATGCTATTGTGTATTCCTGTTACGTGGTATTATTACAGAGCAGGGTCACTTCAGCCAACTATTTGCTGGCCAAAGTGATGTACTTACCCATATATTTTGACTAGTTTTTGGCAAATTCAGCTACCCAAGTCAGATATAATGTTCAGGAATGTTATAAACAATATAGATTTTTTTAAACTTAGGAAATTGTAGTTTATTTTCAGTATTTATTGTTGTTTTGTTACCTGATTAGGCCAATAACTCTGTAAAGCTTGAGCTCTATAATTCTCCAGTGTCCTTTCCTGAAAGCTTTGCAGCAGGGCTATTCATCAGAGATTAGGGCACATTGCTTTGCATGGAGAAAGTCCCACATTCAGTCCTTGTTAGGTCCAGATCAAAGGATCTTGAACAGAAAAGCCTGGAACGATCTGTCAGGCCTTGAAGTGCCAGTTACAACTGACAGTACTGGATTCAATAGTGTCTGTCTAAAGCAGTTTAATTAAAAAAAAATAGACCCTTTATTACAAAAGGAAATCAAAATTGTAGCTTACCCAAATAGTTTTCTTCTTTAAAACCAGAGACAAAGTAGATAGAACATATACGTAAAGAACCAGGATATGGCTGAAATGGCTTTAAGGAAGTATACAACACCCATGCAGACTGAGGGGGCCAGTCTCTGGCAGTGGCTTTTCAAATTCTTTGGCAGCAGACCCCAGGGAAGCCTTCAGCCTCCATGTCTGCCAGGAGTCTCCCCCCCCCCAAACTGCTCAGATGCTGACTAACCCCATTTTGGAGCCAGGGACCACACGCCATTGCCTGCCAGCCTCAGGGGAAGTGAGGGAGGACCCCTGCCCTCTCTCCCAAGCCCCCCAGCTGCAAAAGCAGCCTCAGTTATGTCTTGGGCTGTCACTTTTCGCAAATAGTTACTGCTTTGTCAGCTTTTGTGAAATGTATCCTAAAAACAAAGCTAAGATGGAAGATCACCTCAGGATAAAGCATGCATAAGATTTTAAAAATAGTTCTTTTCATCATATTCTTTGGCTTCCTTTACAAAAGTGGCAATTGGCCATATTTTATCTGCAGACAGCTTTCTTGCCAGAGGGTTAAAAGGTTTCAGAAAGCTATAATGAAAGCATGAGTCAAGGATGGTGTATGATTTGTGAGTCTTATCTCACAGGCTCAGGGGCTTTTTTTTACTTGCCCCAACAATCATTAAATGCAGTGTATAGCATTCATAAGAGTTAATGCTACAAATGCTTGTTAAATATCCCTATATGTTAAACATTCACCTAGGTTTTGTTAGAAATTCTCCTTGAGCATAAACGTCCTATGATTGGTCTAAGCTCTGTTTTAAGCAGTGAGCCTGGCACATGGCCCTGTGTAAGGAAGGCCCAAAAGCAAATCCTGATGATAAATGAAAGCAAATCTCTAATGCAGTTTAATTTTATGTCTTGGTTTTAAAAAAAACACAACAACTTGGACTTCTTAATTTTATTCTAGGGCTACTTTTACAGCTCAGCATCTCAGATCTATGGAGTTGAAATGAATGCAGATTTTTGCCACATGCAAGAAGTTATTGTTACCAAATACCAACTTGATGAAAGAATAAAGGTGAATAGCACACATCTGACCATTTGCTTTATTTTCAGAGAGACTGCAAGTTAGCCAATCGACTAGAGATACACATCAATTTTTGTCACTCAGACAAGTGGTGTAAAACCTCACACAGCTGTTCTTCTAGGGAATATGCCTGAATCAGTCAGCTGGTTCTGAGCGGTTGCATGACGGCAACAAACCTGATCTCAGCTATTTTGAAGTTAAAAAGGAAGACAGAGGAAAATACAGATTCAGAATATGAGTGAGGACGACAACTCAAGATGTAGTAGAGAGTGAGATGATTTTAAGGCTTCCCATGGTTTTGCCATTCTTGCAGTATTTCTACTCTGGGCCTTATACACTGTTGAAATGTACTCGCTTTGGGTAGTGCCTGTTCAGTGGAGATCAGTCAATGGGTAGTAACAATTAATGGAATGGGGTTAACTGGGATAGGGCAAAAGTGTTATCCTTTCCCATTTTGCCCTCAATTCTCAGCTCATGCTGATGACATCCTGTGTCTCCTTCCGGCTCTCTTAACATGTATTCAGTTTTTCATCTCATTGCAACTCAAAATGTATCATCATCTCCCAGTGTATGTGTTTGTGTGTAATGGCTTAGTCCAGTAATGAGTCAGTGGACCCTGAGGAGAACCTACAAGAAAGATTGATGTAGGTAACTCTTTTCTAATATGTAGGTGTTAGCGATGAGGACTGTCCAATGAGAGTCATTTATGTTAATAAGCTGTAAAATTTTCTTCCTTCAGGTGCTTAATGCAGACATACGTACCCAGGCTTCGCTTCTTCAGAATGCTGACGCTGTTGTAATGAATAATGTCTTTGAATATTTCCTTGACAAAGAGGAACAGGCCAGGTAGGCTGTGTGTTCTAGACATTTTTAAAAACCAGAAATACACGTTTGGCAATACAGCTAGCTAGCATTGCATTGCATATTCTACACCCCTTTTTCTAAAAAAAACACAAAAAACAAGATCTGAAATGTATATCAAAATAAATTCTGAATATTATTAGAGGCCAACTCAAAGATCCTTTTTAGGCTAAGAGCCTGTATATAAAGCTTTTGAATAAACGATTATCTTCCCATTTGGATGCAATGTTTTGTTTTTGTACTTAATGGACAAAGAATACCAAGACCATCAACACACGTTTGGGCTTATATTTCCTACCAGCGGCTATGAGAATGGCCTAGAGACTGAAGTACTTCATTTTTCCTCCACTATGATACTCAAAAGTCTGGGATGTTGCCATGATGGAGAAACTTGCTTGCCACTTCAGTTCTTACAAAACTGTAAAATGGGAAACTCTGTTTCTGAAATCATTACCTTTTTGACATGCTTTGCATGACAGGTCTTGGTAATCTGAAATATTATTCTAATGTGACTGGACTGATCATGGTTTATGTATTTAGGGGTTCAATCTGTACAATGAATTCACAGCTTTACTTTGTATTTTCTTTCAAATGGGTGGATCATCTGGTTTGCTATAACAAAGAAATCCTGTAAGTTTCTCTATGTGTAACATTTTGTTTTGTGTAGTAAACTATCAAAAACAGCTGATACCATACAACTTTTGATCTAGTGTTCCCAACATACCTTAGGACTTTCATTAATATAAGAAACATGTTTTTTTTAAAAAAAAAATAGTTTATTTAAGGCATTATTTACAGTAAGGCAAGGCTTGTCTTTTTGTCTTGATTTTTGAAAGGTTTCTGTACTAATTTTTTCCAAAATGGTTGTGTTCATTAAAAAATGATCAAATTCTTAAATTCTGTTAGCAGACTTAGCAACTACAGTATCAGAAGAATCAAATAAGTCTGTTGAAAGGAAGAAGACAGTTGGCATTGCATTTTAATCCCAGTTGCACTATGGGCTCTAGCTCAGTCATATATTTAGTTCTTACAAGTAGGTAGGACAGACTAATGTCTCCAATTGTGTTGCTATGTCTCACATAAAAGCCATCTTTCTTATAATCTTGCCCATAGATTTGTAAGGAAAATGAGATGCCAAGATAAGCAGGATCTGCCCTGGTTAGTACTTGGATGGGAGCCCACCAAGAAGTCCAGGGTTGCTATGCAGAGACAGGCAATGATAAACCATCTCTTTCATCTCTTTCCTTGAAAACCTTACAGGACCGCTATAAGTCAGCAGTCACTTCAGGCCCGTAGCCAGGATTTTGTAAATTGGGGGCCATTAAATAAGTTTAAATAAATTTTAAAACTCACTTTGAGGCATTCACACTCTGCCTTCCTACCAAGTCAGCCTGTGCGCCCGCTTGCAACCCCAAACCCAACGACCTGGCTGCATCAATTCCCCGGGGCACACACCTCCTCCTCTGCCAGCACTCGGTGCTCCACTGAGGTGCCCCAGTCCAGATCATGCTGCAAACCTGCCTCTGTGTGCCATTGCAAGTTCCTGCACCGCACCGGGCACAGCAGGGGGGCGCCAGGTGAGGCCCGCTGGCCCCACCTCACCTGCCGGCCAGCCCAGCTACCTCATGCCATGCCGCCACCAGTTCAGGGTAGAGTTGGCAGGGCTGGTGCTACGCTTGGGGAAGGGGCAGCAGGGGAAGCAAGCCGTGCTTGGGAAATGGGCAGCGGTGGCGGGGGTGGGAAAGGGGCAGCGGGCAGTGGGGAAACAAGCCACACCTGGGGAATGGGCAGCGGTGAGGAGTCCTCCAGGCGGTCCAGAGAGTCAGGGGGCCTGGGGGCTACATGAAAGTGGTGGGGCCTTCGTAGGAAGTGGGGGGCCTGGGCTCCAAAATGCACCACTGTAGCTACAGGCCTGAGTCTCTTTACGACACTTTCAACCACCAGAAGATCAAACATCTTGTTCTTCAAAAGGGTCTAAAGTTCCTGCAGGCCAAGCTAGGTTTCTAGCATTACATTATTTTCTTGGGATTAGTGTAGATGTTTAATGTAGATGTGTACATGTTGTGGAGTATGTGTATATGTGTACTGGGAAAATACAACTAGAAAGATTTGATTCTTCTGTCTCTTGAAATTGTTTTCTTTTGTTTTTCTGTCTCTTGAAATTGGCTCCTTAGTGCCAGCATCTGTGCATCACTAGAAAATCTTTCTTGTCTCCTGAAATAAGGCTTTGAAGTAACATTCAAGTTTCTGCAAGAGTCTAGAACTATCATGCTCAAAGTTATTGTATTTTTAAAAAATTAATATGGTGAAACATGGCCTCATAAAGCCAAGATTTTTAGATAGCTGTATTTCATTGGTATGTGTTAGGGCTTCTATATGCCAGTAACTTCTTAAAGGAGGTGTTTCTTATGAAATCTAACAATGATTTCTTCTAGATCCTGGGAATTTATCAGTCAAAATGTAAAAAAGAAAGGATCATTACTGGTCACAGTTCCAAGTCTTGAGGAATCTTTATCAAATCTTCAGGTGAGTAGCTGCATTTGAAATCTTATCGATCTCTGTCTTTTGATGTAAAAAGCTATTTTCATCTAGGTGAAATTCTAAGGATTTTATTGGTGATCAGTGACTTGCTTCTGTCTTCAAGGAAGCATTGTGGTCTTAGTCTTGCACCCAACAAATGAGAATCTGCTTTCATTACCCTAATCTCAGCTTGATCACTAGTCTTTAGGTAACAAAGAAGTCTGTGGCACTTTAAAAACTACTGCATTATTATGGCATAAACTTTCATGGACTAGGCTTCACTTCAACAGGTACATGATTATAGAGAGAAAAATTAATAGGGAGAGACCAAAAAAACATCAAATCTGAGAGGTCCAGGAAGTCTGTGACATTTCTACTCTGGTCACAACAGCAGTAATTAGCAATGATAAACTAATTTGACACCTGTACTGAAAAACCCATAGTCCCATTTAAGAGCCAAATTACTAGAATCAAATTTACTGTTATATTCTGCTCCAATAGTTTCATACCAGGTGTTCCCTCTAAAGTCCTCTTATCAAAGCATGAGGACTTTGGGGTCATTAGAGTGTTCTGAGACACTGAAAAAAGGCTTCAGGTGGCTTTGCAACATTTTCTGTCAAATTTGTAGCGGATTACCTTGCTTCACTTTAATTCCTGTTTCAGTTTCTATTGCTTTCAGCATATCTTGCCTTTAATTTAAAATATTTTTATATTTTTATCCTACTTTTTCACCCAACAGCTACAGGTGGCTAACAATAAACAATAACAAAGCCAAAGGTCCAGCAGTGAGAATAAACAATTAACCATTCAAGCGGCATTATTTTTACTGTGGGCCGAAAAGGCCAGCAAACAGTACACAGAGGCCAAGACACCCCTATTTTGCTTCCTAATACTGGCTTTTATTTACCATGGCTGGTAGCCATCGATGGACTCTCCTCCGTGACTCTAATTGCCTTTTAAAGCTGTCTGTTCTTGTTGCTGCCCTGACCTGGACAGCCTGAACTCAGAAGGTAAGCGGGGTCAGCCGTAGTTAGTGTTTGGGTGGGAGACCACCCAGGGAATCCAGGGTTATGATACAGAGAGAGGCAACAGCAAACCACCTCTGAATGTCTCTTGCCTTGAAAACCCCATCAGGGGTCACCATAAGTCAGCTGTGATTTGACAGCAAAATAATAATAAAAATAATCTCCATCTTGGAGTTCGCCTCTTTACTGCTGCGGCACATTGAGCTATCTGCTGCACCTCCAGGATCTCATTTCCTCTCAGTGTCTGCCAGTCAAGAGCCCATCGGCATATATTTATATTTAGTTCCAGTGAACATCACTTTATACTTACACTGTACTTTATTTGCCATATTGTCATATACTTATCCAGTTTGGAGAGATCCCCCTGTAGCTTTTCTGCTCCCAGTAGAAATCTATCTCAGTTCCCTAAAAGAAAGATGGCAGCTGAAACATGGCCTTGTTGAGTGATTTTAAAGCCATGAGAAATTCCTACGTGAGAAAGGTCTCCATGAGAACTGGGCCCAAGTTATGTAGAACTTTAATACTCTAAACAAGCACTCTGAACTAGACATAAAAACAAACTGTGCTGCTGTTCTAGAACAGACATAATATGTTCACATCAATCTATACCTATCAGAGAGGTAACAGTATTTCTTAACCGTTAAATCCTTCATTCTCCAAGAAGGTGGTCTGGAAAGTGCTAGGAAGTCACAGCCGACATATGGCAACCCTGTAGGGTTTTCAAGGCAAGGGACAAACAGAGGTGGTTTGCTATGGCTGGCCTCTGCGTGGCAGCCGTGGACTTTGGTGGTCTCCCATCCAAGTACTACCCATGGGTGATGCTGGTTAGCTTCCAAGATCTGATGAGATCAGGCTAGCGGACCATCTAGATGAGGGCATTTCATATACACTTTATTTTAAATGTTGTTTTAATGTCTTAAATATGATGACATTGAAATGTTTGATGTTTGCCACTGTGGGGGACCTTATATGGGTGGAAAGTTGGCATAGAAATATTTTAAGATAAATAAATTTTGTGCAGATTGTGATTACCTGTAGTGTCCTGACAGTTGCTGTGAAGGTTAGCTTTCTAAAACTCCTCTTCTAGTTATTGTTCTGGAAAATAGTGGGGGGGGGGGACATACAAGTTGTTCGTTCCGTGACCTTAAGGAATAACTAAAATGAGGCTAAATTGAGCTAAAGTAAGCTTACCAGAAAGCAGAAGGACAGGTAGTTATTTTGATACTTCTCAATGGAATGGTATAGTAAACAATTACATCTGGAACAATCTAAAAATCTTAATCTAATGATAGTAAAACTAATATATTTGCAACCAGCAGTAAACCAGGCCTTAGGATCTTTAACAACTATAAAACAGTCTGAGGATAATCCAAGGGTGAAGGGTAAATAGTCAGTATTTACTATTTTTAGGATTAATAAAGTATTTGCATCTGCAGCTTGTACTCTTCAAAAAGAAAAGTCTTCTGCCATTTAAGGAGGGGGTAGGTTGCATTTGGAACTGCGGTGGCTCAAGTGGTTAAGACACTGAACTGCAGGCTGTGGAAGGTCGGTAGTTCAGCAGTTCGAGACCCGAGTGTGCTGCATGACGGAGTGAGCTCCTGTCTCTAGTTCCAGCTCCTGCCAACCTAGCAGTTCGAAAGCAAGAAATTGCAAGTAGATAAATAGGTACCACTTCGGTGGGAAGGTAACAGCGTTCCATGCGCCTTGGTGTTTAGTCATGCCGGCCACATGACCACGGAAACATCTTCGGACAGCGCTGGCTCTTTGGCTTTGAAACGGAGACGAGCACCGCAACCCTAGAGTTGGATTCGACTGGCTTTCGAGCAAGGGAACCTTTACCTTTAGGTTGCATTTGCTTATTGCAAACCTGAATTTGGGTATTCCAGTTTTCTCCTTTCTTGCTTTCTCCTCTGAGCTGGCATTTTTACAACTCTTGCATTTTTACCTGTTGGGACATGTGGAACATATTTCATTTACAGATACCTCTGACTACAACCAGCTTATTTAGTGATGATGATAACTTTGGCAGAGTTAGTAAAAACATTTCTTCCAGGTGTGCCGAAGGAGTAATAGCTACACTGCAGTCCTCTGACCTACTAGAATCCGTGGTCTTGGAGTAACTTTGCATAGGATCACAATTACTCCACACTAGGAGATATAAGATCCATGGAATAACACTCCAAATAATTGCATAAAATAACTAAGTAAGATGCAAAAAACAAAGGCTTTGTTCTCTTTAGTCAACAATATTGAAATGGATATCTCTGTCAGATCAGGCAACCCTGTGAAGGGGCCCATATGATAGTGATCCTTAAAAGCAAGAGGTGTTATTCAGTTATAATTAGTAGCTGTGATTACATATGAGGGATGGGGAATTTATACAGTTTCTAGCAAATGGTATCTACATAAAATGACCAGTGACACTAGTCCTAATTTGCTTTGTAGACTCTTGCCACATTGTTAAAGCAGTTCTTTGGCAATGGAAAGTTGGGGGGAAAGCTAAGTAGTGGTAGAAGAAAAAATATTTTTAAGAAGTCTGGCAAAAACAATTCACCCAGTTGCATAATTTTGTAAAAAAGAGAAATCAATATCAGGAAGGCCTATCATTCAGTTGGAGGGCACATATTTTTGCAAGCGGAAAATCCCACATCCCTCTGGCATCTCCATTCTAAGGTGGTCAGCTGACAGACTGAGTGGGTGCAGGGACCCGATTTCTTGGTGAGCTATTTGGTTGAGCTAGATGGGCCAGTACTCAGATCTTGCAGCTTTGCGTGGTTGTGTGTGCAGTTCCATGGCTGAGTGCCACCATGGATGCAGTTGCAAATCCTCACCAAGATGTTCAAGCAGCCTTGCATATTTTGCTGACTTTTGCCTTTAACAGTTCCATCATGCAACTTACTATTAGATTTGATTTCCTTTGTAACATACCTTCTTCATTACTGCACAGTGCTGTATATTCACAGGAGCAGATTCACTTACGGAAGGTTTAATTTCATATTGTAATTTTTTTCAGGTGGACATTCAGCTCAGCCAGTGGGTGGAAGCAATGCCATTACTCTATGATGTATTCTTGGAGGAAGATGCTGATAGAGAAGCACTTAAACAAATTTACTTGTATAAGATTCTATAATATACTTATTCAGTCTGTAGAATTGTGGTTCATACCGTAGTCTTTTCTTTCTTTTTTAATGGCAGCGTGTGGAGCCTGCAGCTCTTTCTGGGAGATAAAATGAAAAGGCAGAGAAGTGATACACACTCCTGGTTATGTTGAAGAAAATCTGTGTGGTTCCTTTTAATGAGAAGTCCATACTCAAAGAATAAGAAATGCTGCCGTGCTCTGCTATTTTTCTACAGATTTTGTCTTTTCTATTCTTAGGTGCTGAATACGACAGTGTTTAGTTTTTATGTGTTTTTATGTCTGCTGCTGTTTTATGTCTACTTGCTTTTTATATACATTTTTATATATTTTTGTTACCAAATTGTGTTAACCTTTTTTGTAAGCCACCTTGATAGTATCCCTGCAAGGTAGTCTATACATTTTAAAATAAATATATCTAAAATATGCATCTGCCTTTTTGACAAGAATGTTCCCCTTTCCCTGGCTGTTCAGACTGCTCCATGCATCTAGTAGAACAGACGGCTTTCCAGGGACCTGCACTAACTATCCCGTTCCTGAGCTGACAGCAACTTTGCTGTTGAGGGGCTGTAGCGTGTCAGGCTGAAGAGGATAGAAATAATCCCTTAAAGGGGACCTCTTCCTGGCACCAAGCCAATAGCCTCTTATTCCAAGGATATTTCTCTGGGATTTGGGGGGTGGGTACTATGAAAGGATAAAATGCTCCTGGAGTAACATACACAAATCTCTGTGGATTACCAATAAAATCCTAAAATTCCATTCCAGGAAGGGAGAGACAAGTTTATGGTGATCTGTGAGTTAACCAAAGGAAACAACACAACTTCCATGTTGCCGTTTGGTCAAGCTATCAAAGGAGCCAAAAAGGATCAGTTTTAAATTCCCTGCTTCTCCTTCAGTGGGGGAAGGCATCCATAGTGGTTAGGTCACGCCTCCACTCACTCCAGGCAGGGCTAAGCAAGTTTTTGTATGTCTTCCTTGGTCCCAGTGAGGGCACCCTTCCAGTTTGAATAGCCCTGCTGCTCCAAAAGGAAGCTAGAGCCAGGCTCTCACTTAAAGCTACTACAAAACTAAAGAAAAAAACCCAGACAAAACTTATCTGAACTCCCTGAGTGGAGAAGTTCACAGATGGATTCCTCAGCCCACAAAAAGATCCAAGGCTTTAGGTCTGTGGGGAACATAAGAACATAAGAGAAGCCAATGTTGGATCAGGGCAATGGCCCATCCAGTCCAACACTATGTCACACAGTGGCCAAAAATACCATCAGGAGGTCCACCAGTGGGGCCAGGACACCAGGAGCCCTTCCACTGTCGTCCCCCCCAAGCACCATGAATCACTTGCCCCAGACTGAGAGTTTCTATCTATACTTTGTGGCTAATAGCCAATGATGGACTTTTGCTCCATATGTTTATCCAATTTTCTCTTGAAGCCATCCATGCTTGTAGCCGCCGCCACCTCCTGTGGCAGTGAATGCCATGTGTTAATCACTTTGTGTAAAGAAGTACTTCCTTTTATCCATTCTAACCTGACTGTTCAGCAATTTCATTGAGTGCCCACGAATTCTTGTATTGTGAGAAAGGGAGAAAAGTACTTTTTTCTCTACCTCCTCTGTCCCATGCATAATCTTGTAAACCTCCATGTCACCCCCACCCTCAGTCATCATTGCTCCTGATTGGGATCACAGCTCACTCAACTAGGGAAGCTGCGATTTCAGCAACATTTTCCACTAGGGCTTATATTGACTAAATTTGTAAGACAGCTACACGGTCTTCCTTAACTATTTTTGTCAGGCATTATAGGATAGACCAGCAATGTTCTGTAGAAGCTGCTTTTGGGAGAAGGGTTCTGCAAAAGGTGTTGGAGGATTGACGCTGCAGTTGTTTTACTCCACCCAGTATAGCTTGGTTATATAACCAGTTTGGATGCCTTCTCCCACGGAAGGAGAACAAAACATTGGACTTACCTGTAGGTTTCTTGTCTTCAGTGGGGCAAAGGCATGCATTTTCCCCCTCCCACTGAATCTGATACTGAGTACTTTAGGGGGAGGGGATTGTTTTCTGCCAGTTGGCATTCTTTTTTTGGTTCGTTTGATGTTGACCAAAAAATAAATAATATAGATACAAATACACACACAATAAAGAATTTGTTCAGTTTAATAAATTTCCATGATTCGGGAGAGTTTTCTGACTTTTTGAGCTAGGCTGGTTTATGTCTGAAGGGCACCCTCAATGGGACCAAGGAAGGCATACAAAAATTTGCATAGCCCTGCCTGGAGTGAGTGGAAGTGTGACCTGATCAGTTTGAATGCCTTCGCCCCACTGAGTTTATTAAAAGTGAACTGACTGCATAGAATCTCACCCATGATAGCTAAGCCATTCTGCTTTATGCTGACCAAATGTCTCAGTGGTGAATAAGCTTCAAGTGGACAGCTGCAGTAGAAGAGCAAGATTAGAGTCCAGTAGCACCTTAAAGACCAGCAAGGTTTCTGGGACATAAGCTTTCAAGCTCCTTAATCAGATACGGTGTTGAGCACGGATACATATGGAGAAGGAAGGGGAGAAGGCAGCCCTCGGTTCTCTGTCTGTCTCACATTCCCTGGCTTTTCAAAAAAGGTGTCAGACTCAAAACATATCCTTTTTGTGGTGGCAGCTTCTATCAGGGTAAGGGACTCTCTTGAGGGGAGGAGGTTGAAAGTAATTTTAAAAAAACATAACCAGTGCCTTTGGTGCCTGGCAGATCTCAGCACAGGAAAGCTGGGGAGACCAAGTAGGTGGTTGTGACAGGGAAGAAGTAGTCTTTTGCTAGTACTGAGCCGGCTGGGAGAAGGAGCACAGGACAGAGCTACTGGGAAGGTGAGTGTTTTTGCCTTTGCTAAACTGCTGGGGAGCATTAACTGAAGTTGCTTTGTGAGAGGATAGAGTTTGTTGCCTGCTGGCAAGTGGTGCTGCTTGGAGTTCTTGGCTCTCAGGAAGCAGGTTTGTTCCCTTGAGGCTAGGGTTGCCGACCTGAAGAAGCTGAGGCAGAAAGAGGTTTGGGGAAGAGACCTACAGAGACCTAACAGAACAGGCCCACTCCTGTGCTGACACCTCTTCTGGTGTTGTGGAGAGTGAGACTCTCATGGTTGGAAGGTGTCGGTCTGAGGAGGAGGAGGAGGGATGTGATCCCTTAGAAGGACCCCTTCCTTGGGTGATGGACCGATATCCTCTCATACTGAGGATACCCCTCTGGGGTTGGGGGGAGGTCAGCTTTTGGTAGTGGGTGAGGCAGATCTCAAGATAGAGAAATAAGGGAGGAGACTACAGAAAAAAACATTGTAACCCTGGGTGACTTTAACTATTGTCACATTGATTGGGCGATTGTGTGCTGGAGTCATGTCATGGAAATAAGGTTTCTAGACATCATAAAGATGCATTAGAGCAGTCATTTCTGGAGCTGGCCAGATAGGTCATGATCTCGTGCTTGATCCTGAGTGGGGCTCAAAACCTGATGTAGATGTAGATGTTGTTGCACTTTTTTAAAAAATTATTTTAATTAAAAATTTCAAATGTTTTACAGAGCAATACAAACATTGTCAACTTGGTGAGCTACATTAAGAATAGCATTCTTGACTTCCGGTCTGATGGCGCTGCGAAACGGCCGGGCTCCGGACAAGCTCCAAACCGGCCGGCTCCCCACGCCTTTTTGGGGCTTTTTCGCTTCGGCGGTTGGGCCCCGCTTCCACCTCTGGAGGAGGAGGAAGTAGTAGGGGGCTTGCCGCCCCCCCCCCGTTGTCAGCGAAACGCGGGGGGTGTTGCCGGTTGCCTCGATGCAGAAGGCGAGGTTGGAGGAACACGGCAACGTGCTCACAGCAGCGACCGACCTTTTTAAATCCTTCTTTTTCTTTTCTTTTTTGTCTTGTTCTTCATGATGCTTTATTCACGGTGAGACTTTGTCTGTTTGTCTGTTTTCACGGGTGCACTCCATGATGAAAAGAAGAAACTGCGTGACCTACCCCTCTTTGGATTTACCTCAACTATTACTAAGCGGCGGTGGAAAGTGAGAGGAACGATAGACTGAAAAGTATGGGTAAAAAGATAAGTTCGGCTGAACATACTGCTAACTGTTAACCGTTTCGTGAAGGATTATAACAATGTAAAAGGGACTTGGGACATTTTCAGAACTTGTTTGGAAGAGTCGAGTTGGGAAAAGAAAATGGCGCTGGAGACGCTCTGCAACGAGCTGTGGGACGCAATACTCCTGGAACTCAGGTCAGATCATTTTAAAAAACTTTTGAAGGAAGAATTAAATAAGACACTTACATCGGTTTGGGATAATATTTTGGGCCGTACACGCTGTGTAAATGGAGAAGAAAACTGTAATATAGAACAATCAAAAAAGACACAAGGACAAGACAAGCTACTGGTAGATATGCAAGAAGGAGACCTGTATGTAACTCAGCACTTACTTACAGAGAGTGGGTCACAGGAATTGGACTTATTGACTTGCACCCCTCCAGAGGAGAAGAAAAGTTTAAGAACGAGAGCTGGGGAGAAAAGATACTACAACATTTTCCGGAGGAAAAGAAAGAAAATAAAAAGAAAGAGAAGAATGTTGAAAGTTTCAAGGAAGGTTAAGGATGGTACTGTTAAACACCTGAACATATGCATAATGCAGTACAGGAAAGTTGAATGGGGAGGCAAGTTAAGGGAATTTAAAGATCATAGACATGTGAAAGAAAACAGGGAAAATCAAAATAAAAAAGAAATAAAATATAAGTTGACTGTAAAGGACTCCTACAGCTTGATGGCAAGTCAATGATTTAAGCCAGGTGGCTATGATAGGATGATTTAATTGGGGAGACCGCAGTAGAAAAGAAATTAGCTCCTTAGGAACAGTTA